GGTTATGCAAGATGCAACCATACCACAACCTCATCGTGGGACAAGCAAAAACGAGAACGAAATCGATATCGGGGCCAGATTCTTATCCCATCTATTTCTGCATCCAGTGCAAGCAAAGATTCGGCACAAACAAAAAGCAAGGGCAGGGATTCTCCGCAAAAAGATAGGCAAGCAGGCATAACATTCATGCATCCATACATCCAATAATCATGCACATAATGCCATCGCAAGGACAGGTGTGAGCAAAAACCCAAGTCCAGATTCCAGATAGCCGAAACGAAGATAAGAACGGGCAAACCGCCCGGAGCCACAATCAAAATGTATGTACACAGATAGAGAAGGGGAAGAGACAAAGAAACATCAAATCCGCATCCCTCGACCTCAACTCTCCTCTCCTCTCTCTCTCTCCGATGCGGACAGTCTGCCGTTGCGCACCAACCCACGAAGTTGTCACCCCGCTTAGTCCTCCCGCACCCGTCGGATTCGCCCGTGCCCACAGTCCGTCGTGGCCCACGTCAATCCCGCGCGTTCGGCACCAGCCCGTCGGGTCGCCCAACTCCTACTCTACTCACCTCTTACTTCGCTCGTGTGCCGACTCTTCCTGATCTCGCAACCACGAGCTTCCAACAACGGGTTAAGAGAGATGACTAATCGCGCAACCGAAATTTATAGTGTGCATGCATGCGCGAAGAACACGGAATTACTAGGACTTAGAGTGAGGATTAGAGAGAGAATGCCTACGTTCTGCATGATCGGCCGTGGCGTGGGGGACGTAACCCTTCTCCACGCATTGATCCGAGCATGCAAGCCGCGGCTTACAAAATTTCAGCAAAGGAAAGAGAGGGAGGGCGGGAAAGACGAAGTGCAAGAAGAAAGATACAGTTACAATGGCGCCCGTCCAAATTTACAGTTACCCACGCGATTAAGGGCGCCTACTAATCAGAGTACCGTTGCAGCTGCATGAGAAGCGCGTAAACAAAGGGCGTCGTGTGGCAGGAAAAATCCTAATTACTAAATTCCTAAATTCCTATCTAATGCGAAAAAGCAAAAAGAAGCACGAATTCAGAATGAAGGTCCGGAATTCCGAGAGCCATTGGGGGCTCGACAAACTTCAAAAGAAAATTCAAAAGGAACAGAGCAATTTTCCGCGCGGTGTCCGCGCCCAAAAGATCAAAAACCGAAGCGAAAGGAACGACGTCAACATTTATTAATCGCGCGCGCACGTGGCAACGCGACAAACAACCATTCGACCAATCAATCCACTGCCGTCCCAAGACACACCTGGCTCCGAACCCGGTCACCCGACACGAAGGGACGAAAAAAAGGACGAAAAAGCAAGGACATTGATGCAATTCTCCACCGATCCCGATCTCCCGTAATTGGCCCAATCTTCCCAGCTTAGGACCCCTCATTGCATCCGCGCAGAAAATCGCGCGTTACAGAAAGTGGCTCGTCACATATGTGACGCCCAGGGGGTTCCAATATTAGCAAGCTCCTGCTTGCTTGTTGACACGTGTCAATTTCTTTAATTGATCGACACGCGGAGCAATTCTCTGTATGCCACTTACCGTTCGATTTCGTGTGGACGTCATCCAACGTGGCAACGCTGCTCTTCTACTAGTTCCTCAGATTGGGGTCTTCGACGATCCAAGGACGGGATCTTTCTTGTGCCGTCGCCGCAACACGCGTCTATTACCGCTGCATCAGTAATTAACAGGAAGGGGGAAGGGAAGGCGATACGCGTATAAGGGAGGGCGGGGCGGCTCCATCGTAAGCTCGGGTATGAAGCGTCCGATCGCAGTGAGGTCATAGGGAAGTTCTTGAAAACGGACAATGCGATGGAAGCGGGGGAATCTCTGGCCGCTGCGGGGAAGGGAAGCGAGGTAGTCTGGGTAAAGGGATACGAGGGTTCGGAGGACGTTCGAGTGAAACCGATCATGGTTCTCGCACGCGGGGAAGGTCCCCGTAACGATGCAGTAAACCTCTATATAGTTATGGCCTCGCCACGCGACGCTAAGGAGCAGAAAGTGGAGGGAGTAGTCAGGGACAGCACACCGAACGGAAGGGTGGGGATGGACAGTCAGTTCTAGGCGGGGGGAGTAGAAATGTTGGAAGGTGGCGATGGGGAAGGGATTACGGGGGTAGACGGCCCGATGGAAATACTGATTGAAAGAGAGATAGCTAAGGGGATGGTGGTATATGGATCGGGGACGAAGGGCTAAGCCCCTCATTGACACGTTGACGAATTGGGGGACGGGCGGAGGTGGAGGGGGACGTGGATCGGGATCGGGATCGGCGCCTTGTCGTCGCGGCTCCCGAGGTCGTGGCAGCAAGGTCTCCATGTTCCGGCTTGGGCGGCTCGGGATCCTTGAAAGGATCGTTCGGTGCGGAATCGATCGCCAACCGCTTTCCTTCCGCGATCTCTTTCTTGCGCTGCGCAGCAGCCCCCGGGTTCTCCTCTCGCCGATCCGGTCCTGGCACCGACTCGAGCTCATCGTGCGTTGGCTCCTGGTCGTCCCCGCTTTCCACTTCTTCGTCGTCTTCGTCCTCCTCCTCACTTTGCTCGCCCTCGCTGTACTCGCTACAGGCGTCTTCCTCTTCCTCCGAAGTCTCCTCCTTTGCTTCTTCTTCTTCTTCTCCAGCTTCCGCCGACTCTTCTTCTGCTTCTCGCTCTTCTTCCTCGTCCTCGGCCAATCGGGTCGCTGCTTCCCCGGCCTCTCTCCTCAATTCTCCTTCCGATTCCTCTTCGGCCTCCTCTTCTGCTCTCAGTGCCGCCCACTCGAACGTCGTTGGTTGCCGAAAGAAGCGGGGATTAGTCAAGCTGTGGACGTCCAGGTACTCGCTACGGGAGGGAAAACGGTCGTCCGCACAACGCTCCTCGATACAAGCTGACCATTGGAGGCTCAGGGCGAGAGTCCTTGAGAGGATATGTGGCATGGGTTCTTCGTCGCTCTGAGAGACGATGTCGAGAGGGAGTTCGTCGGCCAATCGCGCGATCACGATCGTAAGTCCGCGTACGATCTGTGATCGGTTTCCCCGATCCACTGCTCCAAAGACAAATCCCAGAAGATCTCCCGCCACATTGGTCCTCCACGCCTGAATGACGAGCAACTCCACAATCTCCGACGCGGGCCTCTGATCGCCTTCCCACGTCCAGTTCAGATCCACTCGTAGCAGGCAAAACGAGAGCTCGACAAATCTTGCACGCCACAGCCACCAATGGTCCGGATCAACGATGGGTACTGTCAGTGGCTCCAGACGGAAGGAGAGACGAGGGTAGTGAGAGGACTGCCAGAAGATGGGGAAGAGAGAGGGAGGAGAGAATGTCGAGATCGGTCCGCGGCTCATCTGCGCGGCTGGAAGGGAGCAAGTTCGGGGAGGACGACAGGTGGCTCGCGTAGCGTCGTGCGCAGCGTGTTGACTTCGATGCCGTCGACAGGATAACACTCGTCACCGTGCCTTGTGAGCCGTCGATCCCAATCAGTGGCCAGATCGCGGCCCCACCGGTACAAGGTGCTTTTGATGGCGGCTTGCCGCGCCGAATCGAAGGCGGTGATGTCGCCGCTGAAGACTACCACGGTAGACACGTGGCTGATTCCCGGGGCCGCTCGTCGTTGGAACGATGTTGCCTCGGCCAGCACCACTACCTGGGGGTTGCTCGTGAATCGGAACTCTGCCACGCCGTATACACTCGCAATGCAGAAGAACTGCGCAAGGCGCATGAAGTCGGGGCTGATCCGCGGATGATGCACTTGGCGGATGGCTGAGATCTCTCCCCGTGGCATCAGCAACTGATCACTGAAAGCTCGCTCGATGGCGAAACTCATGGCGACGGCGGGGGTGATGGGGTGGCAGAGAGGGAGCAAGAAAGGGAGGGAGATGGCGTAGAGTCCGAGCCGTCGTCGTCGGCTCCCTCAGAAAGAGAGATCGAGGGAGAGGGAGACGGAGCAGAGGGGAGGAGGCGAAGATAGGACACATGGCGTGTGATCGGACGAGCCGACCGACTACCGGAGACTTCAGGGGCGAGACGCACGGTGTCCACGCTGTTGGGGCCGAGCTCGATCACGCGATATCGCCCGAAGAATCGTGGCGCTGGCTTACCCTGGCGAGCACATTTCCTCACCTGCACCACGTTCCCCAATTTGTACTGAGGTCGCGGACCCGCATTCCCATTTCGAGCCTCGTAGCTCTGGACCTGTCGGCCCTGGGCTAGTTCGGTCATTCTTTGTCGCTTTCGGGCTAGCCTGGGCAGCGACCATTCCATTAACTCTAGGTTCCGTTTGGCCTTGTCCCGAGCCGTAGCCCTGGTGGGTCGTCGGTTCAATGTAGATTCATCCGGGAGGCTTGGTATCGAAACGCATGCGACACTATTGGTCCTTAATTGGAAGGGGCTCAGCCCCGTCGATTCGTGGGGCGTTCCGCGATGGACCACCAGGATGTGATTGACGATATCGGGCCAGGGTCTCGGATCCAGTGCCGTGATGTTTCATCGCAACGCTGTCTTTATCACCCGGTTAGCGTTTTCGACCAGCCCATTGGATTGTGACATGTGGGGTGCACTGTTCCTTATGGCGATGCCATGTCGGACCAGATTCCTTAACACTTCTCCCCGGAATTCAGCCCCGTTGTCGGTCAGGATTTCTTCCGTATCCTGATGCATGACATATCGTGCGATTTCCGTGGCTTGCCACGTGCGACAAGGATACGCTTCGATCCATTTCGAGAAATGGTCGACAAATACCAATAGGACTGAATATTCACAACTATTAGGGCCAGGGGGCACCACTATGTCGGTAGTGTCCATGCTTACTCTTTGAAATGGCCGTTCAACAATCATGGGTAATATCGACCTTGGTGGCTGAATCGGCGCTTTATCAGCGGCGCAGACTTGACAGTTGGCGACGATGTACTTCACATCGTCGCGGATATTGGACCAGTACCGCTCATTTTTGTCGGTAGCGGACTCCGTGATTCGTACAGCAAAATGAGCCGCAGTTTCCTCGTGGGCTGTCTTAACCTTGTCATACCGCATGAACGGATGCGGCACCACCATCCAAATCCCACTACCGTCCGTTTTCCATTTTTCTAATCTCCCCTCTATCCACCTGTAATCCCGAGCCCTTTTGTTGGCCCTCCTCCGATCTTCCTTAGTGAAATCCTGGAGGGGGTTACCAACCAAGGTGGCAATCAAGGCAATATCAGTCCATACTTCGGCCCTTCTAAACTTTCGGGTCTTTTCCAATCCTTCTGACGTGGCATCAAAAAAGTGAGCCTCGGTCGGAATTTTGTCGGTCCGGCACAAGGGGCACAACCATGGTTTACTATCGTTCCTGTATTGGATGCACGAGCCATGGGCTCGTGCAACACACTGTCGGCAATCTATCCAATCCGCATATCCCACCCGGTTAGGACGCATGGAGACCGAATAGACGCGGGAGATGGCTTTGCAAAAATAGCAAAATTTGTCAGGCAGGGAGAGGAGAGACGGAGAGGAAGGGGGGGAGAGAGGGGTAGTGGGGTTACCTCCGTCACCCATCGCCACCGTTTTGCTTCTTGCCACGTGGGAGGACAGTCACTTGTCCGTACTTAGGCTCGTTGGTCAGGTCCGGCTCCTTCCACGGTGTAATTTCCTCGCCCTTTGGTACCTTGGCAGGTCGATGCAGGCGTGTCAACCCGTCCGCGTTGCCGTATCGCTCCGTCTTTCGATGGACGATATCGAAGTTGTATTCTTGCAGTCGCACCGCTCAACGACCAATCATGCCCGTGTAGTTGGTGAGCTTCTTCACAGCTAGCAGAGACTCGTGATCCGTCACGAGGTGAAACTTCTTTCCATAGAGATACGGATGGAAGTGCTGGATTCCCCAGACCACTGCATAGCATTCGCCTTGAGGTGCTGAGTCGTTCCTTCGTTCGTCCGGCACGGTTCGTGACGCGTACTCGATGACGTGTTCGCGACCATCGTTCCCCTTCTGCGCTAGAATAGCGGAAATAGCTTCCGGTTGCCAGTCCGTGATGAGAATGAACTGCTTCGAGGGGTCTGGTCGAATCAAAATAGGGGCCGTCGCCAGAGTGTCCTTGAGGGTTGCAAAGGTCTGCTGGCACTTCGAGTCCCAGCTGAGAGGCTGGTCTTTTCGTAACAGATTCGTTAGTGGTCGTGCAATCGCGGCAAAGCCCTTGATGAAGCGTCGGTAGTACGACGCCTGTCCCAAGAAGGCTCGAACCTGCGTCAGTGACGTGGGAACCGGAGCTTCCTTCACCTCCGCAACTTTTCTCGAGTCTGGCCGCAATCCTCCGCCTATCACGACATAGCCCAAGAACGAAATTTCTGAGAGGAAAAATTCGCTCTTCTCAAGCGCAATCTTGAACCCAACATCTCTCAGTGCACCCAATGTCCATTCGATGTGTTGCGCATGCCCGTGATAGGTTTTCGAATAGACTAGGATGTCGTCCATGTACACGATCACACAGAAGTTAATCATTCCTTGCGTCAGCCGTGTCTTGCTGACGAAGTTCTGGAACGTCATGTTCATCGCTCGCTGAAACGTGGCAGGCGCATTGCAAATCCCCATCGGACACCGAACCCACTGCCACGTGCCCTCAAACAACACAAAGGTTGTCTTCGGCCGATCTTCTTCCCTTACCTGAATATGATGGAAGTCATGCCGGATATCAAACTTCCTGAAATATTTAGCGCATCCGATCGCATCCAACAGATCATCAATCCGGGGGAGGGGGTACACATCTTTGATCGTGATTTCATTCAGCTTGCGATAATCAATGCAAATGCGAATCGCTCCGTTCTTCTTCGGTACTAACACTATGGGAAAGGATCAGGGTCCAGTAGCGGGTTCAATCCAACCGTTGGCTTCAAACTCCCGAATTCGTTCGAGAGCCTTTTTGCGTTCAATCAAGGAATAACGATAAGGTTTGCAATGAATCGGGGAATGATTTCCTGTCTCAATTTCGTGTTGGATTACTAACGATAGCCCAATGTCAGTGTCTGACACACTAATCGCTCCTTGATATTCTATAAGAATATCCACAATTACCCGGTGGATTTCATCCGGCACATATTGTGGGACGTGCAGTTCAAAAAGTTGGTCCCAAATCCGAACGCCAACCTGTTTCGTGTTCGCTTGTTTTGCCAAATCGGGTGGAGGCGCCGAGATGAATGAATGATCCGATCGCCAGGAGAATACCGTGGCCATCATCTAGGCATCTTCTTCTCGGATTGCCACATGTCCTTCCGGGGTAATCCCGTCACAAACATCCTGCCATGGCACTTCCTTAGTTGAGATCTTTATCCCCAGTCCGTCTGTTTCCGCTTCAAAACGCCTAGGGGATTCCAGAGAGCTTGCTTCCGCCCCCAACCGTAACAGTCTCACTTCTTTAGCCGAAGTTAGTAAGGACTTGGGTAGACCCGTAATGTCACAGTAATGCTTCTTGTCGTTGTACCGGGCGAGGAGAGGGGTGATCCCTTCGTACAGAGTTTGAGGGGGTTCCAAAGAATCGACCATCCTCGAAATCTGCAAGAGGGGCTCACCCAAGATCATCGCCTTGGTCCTTTGAACTTTTCGGCTGGTTAGTTGCATCGTTCTCGCTATCGTTTTGGGTGGCGGGTAACAAACACGTTGTTTCGCTAATTTCAAGATCTCCGGATCATCCTCGTCACTGATTTCCGCATTATCTGTTGACGACTCTCCTTCTACAGATTTCTCCCAGGAAATCATGCGAAGAGTCTCTGCCATCATTGGCGAAACCCGAGGAACCGTGTTAATATTAGTGCGAAGGGTCAATCGCATGGGTACAGCGTAGGGTTTTCCTCCTCTATTTCGGAGGACGATCGATCGTCGTTCGAAATCCCGGTTTTCTCGTAACGCCACAAGAGCGGGAAGTCCGAAGAGAACGTCGTACGTATTGACATCTAGTACTACGACATCCCCAAGCGCATGCACTTTACCCAATCGGAAATCGACATTAGTCATTCTTCTCACGGTTTTAATTGTTTCTTCGTCAGCCGAAACAAGCTGATCTTTCTCAGAATGTGGGATCAGGTCGTTTTTCCTACCTGCCCTTTCGCCCACCCTCAGTGAGATAGCCAACACAGCCGCTCCCGAATCTATAATAACATTGTAAGGGATTCCCCAAATTTCTATATCACACTCGGCGGATTTCCACGGAATTGGTTTAATCTGCAGGAAATTATCATCTTTCTGGATTAAACCTACCCGTATCGGATCCGAAGTACTTGCGGGGTTTTCTTCGGGCGCGGGGCTTTTGGCTTTCGCATTCGGGGTTCGGGCAAGGGCGAATTGCTTTCGGTTCGCTTTGCAATGCTGTAACATTCGCTCGTTGGCTTGCTCGGAGATCGAGAGCAGATGACCATTCGGAAGGGGAATCCGATGGTCCAAAGCTCGGATGATGTTTAATACATCGATCTCCCCTGTGACGAAGGTGGGTCCTCCCGACTCCATTTCTCCTAGGGACGGTCGCCACTCCGCCACCTCTTTTGGTTTTGGCGCTGGTCTGATTGTTTTGATCATTCCAAGCCTAGGATATCCCAGCGACACATACTGGTTTAGCGAGATCAGTTCGGCGGCCTCTTCCATGGTGGCAAGGGCACTTCCCCCACTTTCTACTTCTTCCATCAGGGCTCCGACTCGTCCAGGTCCGTTAGCGATGGGGGCCGCAGCCATAGGTGCAAATCCAATTCGCTGTTGAGGGGGTCGGTGGGGGCAATCACAGGCTAGATGGGCTGGTTGATGACAGACGTAACAGACATTCAGGTTATTTGTGACTCCTCCGAGCGCAGGGGCCGGGGCTAATCCTTGCTGCATCAGAGGGGCTCGCACCGCAATGGGTCGCATGTTCCTCATCATGGCTTCCAACCGAGCATTGCGCTCTCGCTGCTCCTTTTTGCTTTCCTGGATCAAGCTAATCAAGGTTTTGGTTAGTTTGAAAATGGCCGCCGATTCGTTTGATCGTACAGGCGCCTCAACCGGTGGCGGGGGTAATGCCCTGACGGGCGGGGGCATCATAGGAGCAGAGATGCTCGGAGTCTCACTTAGGATTACTCGTTTGGGGCCTATCTGTTCCATATAGGTGACAGGTCCTGATACGAACCCCATGTTTTCAAATTTGTTTTGTAAAGCAGCCAGCTCTGCTCTGGCTCGAGCGAGCTCAATCGAATCTCCGTCTCTAGGGTAATCTTCTCCTTCAAGGAAGTTCGCCGTGAACTTCCGTTCCATTTCTTCCGCAGCAGCCATAATTTGTTGTAGCGTATGAGTGATGGGGGAAAATTGCTTTCGCAACTTTGCCCTTATCGTTCGACTGCGGAGTCCGTCAATGAACAAATCTCTCCCGACTTGCTCACCTCCCTCAGTTTTTACGAACATTCTATAGAACCGGTTTCGATATTCCGCAACGGATTCGAGCGGTTTTTGCACTCGACCTTTGATCATGTACAACGCTTGCTCAGGGTGGACATAATCGAATCGGTTTATAAAGTCTTGTTCGAAGGTCGGGAGATCCACCTATACATAGGTACTAAACCAATGATGAGCGTCTCCACCCATTCGAGCCGGAATGTTGAATTGTGCTTCGTTGTCGATATACTGTTGGGCTCTAAGTGTGGCCAGCCATGCTCCTGCGAGATGGTGTGCCGGATCGAACAAATACAGATCAGGTGGCGACATGGGAGCTCGTCCACGTGGGGCAGGTTGATTAGGTAGATTAGCATTTTGTTGCGGGACTGGATTTTGCACATTGGCAGCCATATTGGCTGCTCGTCGGTTAGCCGATCTCCCTCTGGTGACGATAGGGTCGCGTCTATGCGCGTTCCGAGGGCGAGGTTGCCCACGGTTAGCCAGGTCGCCTAATTAACGTGCAGCAATCCTAAGACCCTAGCCACGTGTCGGGCTCCGATACCAACCTCACGCCCGGCGCGACTTCCTGATCGGAGTGGAGTGTGGGCCTGGAAGTGCGAAAAGGGGTGTGCCAAGGATTTTTGGGGGAAGTGGGGGAGTCTTAAGGATATG